CAGGATTTAGGCAGTATGAGGTGAGGCCACAGAATCCACATATTTCCAAAATCAGGTCCTCATCATTGCTGCCATACTCTTGCTCCACCAGGTGTTTGCAGGGGAGGTGTAATCCAACAGCTCATATTGAAAATTAAAAAAGGAAGATTGCATTTATCTCAGTATGTAAAAAAACAGTTTTCATATTACAACTACTATCTTTCCTTCACTTTTCAACCAAAAGCTGTTGTTATATTGCTTAAAGCAGGTTTTTAAATCCCTGAGCTAATAAAGCTCCATTGCTTCAGCTGCAAGATCTGACATGAAGCATGTACTTTGGAAAGATGAATCACAGGGGATCAGGTTCGTAACAGTTGACTACGAGTTCCAGTCCCAAAAGATGTGCCCCTGGTGTGCAGAACACTTAACCCTTTGACCAGTACCAACATGACTATTCAGAAATTATTGATGTCCCTAAATCCCTGGCAGATTGCAGACAGTTCTTGTCTCCCTTGAAGCTAAAGCATATGGTCGTTAATGAGAGGGATTAAAAAATACATATACACATTGAAGGCTTTGGCACATGAATGTAAAGCTGCAGAAATGGTAGAAGGTGATTGAACTGGACTGAACACTGTTAAATACATGATTAGCCTCTTGTTATGGATCATTTCCATTGATCTATATACAGTTTCACAGCACAGATTAATTAAAGCTGTCTGTAACAAGTCTCTGCCTTAAATGATCAGGCAGTGCAGTGAAAAGGTGAAACAACAAGGAACTGGACACCCCCCTCCCCTTCTTAAACAGCCAGCTGACTGTTTCTATGGCTTACAACCACAGCAAGGAAGGAAAATGTGCTTTTAAAAATAATCTGGTTTTACTGTGTAGGGTTTTTCCCTCACTTTTACTTAAGATAATAGAAAATGATGTAGTGGAACAGAAAATTAAAAAAAAACAAAACCAAAACAAAACCAAAACCAACAAACCAAACCTGTACAGTTTTCTTGCTTCATTTTAATTAATACCTTTCTGTCCAAAATAAAATAAAGGCCACAAACCAAAAATATACTGTTGGAATATAAAAGTGTGGCACTTTGCAAAATATGATTTTGTGCTAGTTTTTTTTGCTGCAGATGTGAAGATTTTAACTGACAATAATGTGGACATTTTGCATAGTCATTTTCAAAATCTAACCCATGTTGCGAAGATTTCTTACGCTCTGTCTAGATTTCTCTCCCTTCTTTCAAAGCCAACAACTGATGAATGAACTTTATTGTTGAATGATAAATACAGAGTAACATTTGCTTAAAAAAAATTATAAGGTTAACCAGTATAATTTAGAGTTCAAAAAAACACCAAATTTACCATTTCAAGCCTATTTGTAATACACACATGCCCCAAGATAAAAAAAAAAGAAATTACATAGAGTTGCAGTTGCATTTGGAACTCAGGTTCCAAACACATGCCTAGTCGGAAGCCAAAGCAGCCATTCAGATTTGCATGTCCGTATTTGCAAACAATTCTTTCATAGAAATTTATCTTCAAAGACTCATGACATTTCATTTCAGCTTGTCTTGCATTTATGGACCCATCTATACTGAGCAGCTTCTTGCTTCTCGCACCAAACTAGTTTCAGTTGTAACAATTAAAATGTCTTTTTTAAATAATCACATAACAGATACAACTACAGCCTGGACTGGATGCACTAAAGCCAATGTCAGCCATCCTCTTTTAACAAAGAACCATTTCAGATGATTGCACCCTCTTCTGTTAAGGATATGTTTATTAGGATCCAGACTGATAGGACTCTGCCATTTTTGTCATAAAATACTGTGAGTTGTATCCACAGATACGTACAAAACAGAGTAACACTTCACCCAGCAGACTATTCACCCAATGAAATCACAGTCATAGAATGGTTTGGGTTGGAAGGGACCTTTAAAGGTCATCTAGTCCAACCCCTCTGCAACGAGCAGGGACATCTTTGACTAGATCAGGCTGCCCAGAGCCCTGTCCAACCTGACCTTGAACGTTTCCAGGGATGAGGCATCTATCACCTCTCTAGGCAACCTGTTCCAGTTTCATCATCCACATTGTAAAAGCTTTCTTCCTTGTATCTAGTCTGAATCTACCCTCTTAGATTAAAACCATTACCCCCTGTCCTCTTGCAACAGAATCTACTAACAGGTGTGTCCCCATCTTATAAGACCCCTTTAAGTACTGAAAGGCCACAAAAAGGTCTTTGCGGAGCCTTCTCTTCTCCAGGCTGAACAACCCCAACTCTCTCTGTTTTTCCTTATAGCAGAGGTGTTCTAGCCCTCTGATGATTTTTGTGGCCGTTCTCTGGACCTGCTCCAAAGGGGCCATGTCTTTCCTATACTGACATTTAAATCTGCTGTAAAGGGAAGACTATGGTTTTGTTATATTTT